AAATAATAACTTTAAACTGTTGTAATTTGATGTTACGTTGGTATTTTCTTTGTTTTTCTTTGTCATTTTACAAATCATCGGGTGATTATAGCTGAACTACCCCAGGTAATTGTCACAGTATTGATTTTTGTTGTCTTCAAAACAGACAGGATGGTACAATCAAAGTAAAAGTAAGTTCCTTAGCATACACATTCAATGAAATGGTTTAACCATACAGAATACAAAGATACAGTTATGAGTGTCAAATGGATATTAAGTATCAAATAATTCGTCATAATGCATAAAGAGATACAAGGGTTAGAGACAAAGGCGTCGGAATTTGAAAATTCACATATTACTGACTCAAGTTTAGAAGAAGATTGATTCTTTAATTTCAGTTTTAAATAACATTATAAATTGTATACAGTCTGGGAGACAATATTACAAGTGTGTAAGTTGTTGATTTGTGTGCGCTAGAGATGTTGATTTCGTTCTTCAATCTCGACGCCAAAATAACGTTTTTTTCTGTTAAATCAAATTGTTTAACAGATGAACTGAACGACTTTCTCCCTAATGTTGTTAGAATTCGTTGTAAATCTAAAATTCCAATATATTTTTGGTTACATACGTGGTTTATGTCGACAAGGATGTATCTAGTTTCAAAATAAAAAGCCCGGATACTCGGTGCCGCTTCAGATTTTTACGTTTATACTCGTTACATTTTGCTCAAATGTCCATTGCCAGTTGCATTTTAGGAAATCAACGATCCGGATATTAAAGAAGGATAGAAATCATTAAACAAATTAAACACGAAGACGTAACATAGGCAAGATATCTTCGTTCTTACTGAGCTATATGCACAGCTAAGGTATGCATTAACTACCCCATATATACTGCGCAGTAAACTTACCTTACAACAAGGACGTATAACTAACATATACGTCCTTGCTTACAATTACGACATAGTTGATCAATAAAACTGGAACTGGGAACTTTTTTATGATATTTTTTGTACCATTAAAGTCCTAAATCAGTGTCTCCAAGTCCAACTATATAATATATGTTTTGTTATTTATGAAAAAAAGTTGAGATTTAGATTAGTTTTGTGCTCATTGAATTTATAAGACTTTTTAAGTTTTCAGGCCTGTTTGAGTTACTATTCGGGAGAGGATTTATGGAGGATCATATTTTAATTCTGTGCCTATAAAACAGGAAAAATAAATAAGATGCAGACCAATAGACTTTGTTAAGATGCGGCACATCTACAAAAGGGTTCGCCGAATACAAATGAAAAATAGGGGATGTTTTAAAAATACTAGCAATGAAAAATATAAGGTTTTATCGTTTTACTTTCAAATTGTTCAATAATCTCTTCTGTATGATTAAAAGGAGATCGAAATCCGTTTCTACACAATATGTCAAGCTCTGCATGAATGGTCCTAAATCTATATGAAACAATTAAAGATCTGCCAGTAAAATATCATTCCCAAAAGTAACGTGAACATCAGGAGAAAGACTGAAAATAGAAATGTAAACAATTCGAAATTAATCAAACATATACTACTTAAAGGTGTGTTTTCCCTTACTATATTCAATAGAACATCCTCAGGAGCCGTGGATTGACAATGTCGTCCAAGAACAAAATTATGTTCGTTTAAAAATTATTTTTCAAAATGTTCATGTAAATTGATGTTGTCATGTATTAAAACAGTTAGTTAACCAATCAAATCAGTATATGTTATACTGCACAGCTCGGTATGCGAATGACACGAACAGTCTGTTCAACTCCCAACGTATTTCGGGTCAAGTATGGTCACCTGACCTGTGCAGTAAAACGAACATATAACGACTTGATTGTTCAATAACTATAACTTATAATGAAACTAATTATCTTAAAACTTTCAAAATTGTGACGGAATGTTTCTTAGTTTTAAAATAAGAATTAATATCTTGGATCATCTTGGTAGCGTTGTTTACATCAAAATTAAAATAGTGGCGGTTATGCAACCACATGCAACAGCATGGCGATTACTTAATTGTTTTTGCGTATTAATGTTTAATGGTCAAAATACTAGGGCGTAACATCTTGTAATCGGATGCCAACAGCTCTGTAAATAAATCCCGTCCTTTTTCCCTCTGTAGACTTAATATTGTTTATTTAATATCGGATATTAATTTTACTTCTTCATTGGTTCCATATCTGCATGCTCGTTATTTTAGAGTTTTGTCCCTTTTTGTCGAATAATTCAAGGTTTCTTCAATAAAATAAACAAAATGGTTATTAATGAGAATGTCATCAGATCTGCTATTATCTTAATAATTTAGAAAGACTATATTGATGAAGGATACTACTCTTGGATGATTGTGATTTATCTCCAGATTTAATATTGATATAATAAAAGATTAATTCCAATGTTTTTGGACAATAACATGTTTTATGACAATCACCAGATTCTAAAATTAAATAAGAGAGTTTTGCATAAGATTTTGATGTTATACTAAGAAGCTTTAAGCGCTCATATGTTTTCTTTATCAATTTCCATAAGAACTCAAGTAACTGAAAACATTTCTGTTTTAGGTTTAGTCTTAAATCTTTTCCTATCCTTTTGATCTTATGCTCTTTAACGGAATTATCTTACCAATTCTTGTTTATCTTGTTTGTTTTGTTTTTTCAAATTTTTCACTGTTTTCTTTAATTATTAAGATTTTCCGTAATTTCGAGTAAAAGAGAAAATAAATCGGTACAAACTTCATTTATTCCTTCGTGACACAGAGAATAATTTGAATTCAAGAATTCAAGTTGCAAGACTGCAAAAGTAATTCATATTATTTGACACTATAAAAGTATTGCTGTTCCTCATCGCAGACGCCAGCACTAGTCAGGCCTTCAACAAGTTTTAGAAGCTATATATAGAACCGGGTTTCAGCGGAATTTTTGCTAGATGCGGATTAAGGAACTGACCTCATCACAAACACTAAACCCAGTCGCTAGCTAGTGAAATTGTTGTTAAGACCATGTCTCGCCTGTGAAATTGTTGTTAAGACCATGTCTCGCCTGTCACACTTACTTATTTCTAATTAAGCTCACCTGGCCTATAAGGCCATGTGAGCTTTGTCATCACCTGGCGTCTGTTATCGTCGTCCGTCGATCGTCGTCGTAAACTTTTTAGAAAATCTTCTCCTCTGAAAGTACTGGGTCTAATGTTACCAAACTAAACCTGATTTTTCCTTATGGTATCTAGTTCAAAAATTGTATCCGGGGATTTGATCCACTTTTTGGCTTTTATCTAAAAAAAACTCTTATCTTACTTTAAATTTGCTTAGACATGTTAAACCAAGTCTTTCACATATTAATGCCAAATTTTGTGTATGTAATGCATGTTGTTATTATTGTTTTAATGTTGTCTATATGTTTTTATATTCGATCAAAAGCTCTTTCGAGCTTGTGTCAATGCCGAATCATATAAAAACAATTATCTTATTTTATCTTATCTTAGCTATTGCTAAAAAAGAACATATGGGTTAAATGCAGTCTTTTGGCTTTCATCTAAAAAAACAAAAGCAGTTAGAGCAATGTTGCATTATTTAGTAGGCTTATAATGATAAACAGTTCAAGGTCTATCTCCTATGGAATTTTCAGAAAAATCAGATACCGATTTTGGAGTTATGGTCCCTGAAATGTCATTTTTTGCAAATTTCGCCCTTTCGAAAACTTTAACAAATAGAGTGAAATTTTGAATAGGAAAAATGACTAGAACAATAAGACCTATGAATAAGTCAACTTGGCAGAAATGGCCAAATGATCCTTATAGGAGTCAATGCCTTTAAATGATGATTTCTATCCTTTTTGCATTTTTTAGGAAACTATAAAAAATATCTTTCGTTAGTTAAATTGTTCAACAAAATATGATCTACTAGTAAGTCAACATGGACGAATCGTCTATTGACCACTCATAGGAGTGAATGCTCTAGAAAGACTTATTATACTCATTTTAAGGTCTTTTGTATATTCTATATATCTACATTAAAGGTAATAAGCAAAAGCGTTCAGCAAAATAAGGTCTACAAATAAGTACCGTTGATCGAAATTGTCAATCGACGGCTTATAGAAGTCATTTGCCCTTGAAAGATGGCTTACCCATTTTGTTCATTTTTTCAGAAACTTTAAAGACAGAGAAAAATTGTAATTGACAAAGATCTTAAGCATAATAAGATCTACAATAAGTCAACATGCCCCTGAATTATACTTTTTTTTCTTCACTTTTGTAGTTTTTGCACAAACTATAATCAGTCATCATGGCCAATATTGTCACAATACTCATTTTAGAATTATTTCCCCTGAATGATCATTTTGATCCATGTTTTCCTCTTTTGTCAAAAACTACAGGAGTTAGAGAGAAAAATAATATACAAAAAAAGATCAGCATAATAAGATTTACAAATAAGTCAACATGGTCAAATTGTCACACTAGTTATAGGATGTATTGTCATAGAATGGCGTTTTTTTTTTATCCCACAACCACTAATAGCTAGATATAAACTGTTTACAGTAAACATGATTATCACTAGACTAGTATGACTAGACTTACAAAAATACCACTAAATTATAAATAAGATTTATAATTAATCTCACATAACTGAATACAGGAAAATACTTAGTTTCAAAATGGCAAATATGTGATTTTCACCAGCTGAGCGATTCAGTCTCTCCGGAGCCGATTGTTTAAAAGAAAGCAGCTTGTTTGTTCGACTTACACATAGTTTTAATCGCCCACTTTTTTTTTATTACACTCATTTATACTATCACAATTATTCAACAGGCTTCAACGATATCCTAAAGATTTGTGATATATCAAATGTAGCAGCACCGCGGCCTATGAAACGGTAGTTTGTAGTTAATTTTGCGTGTCATACACTCAGGTCATACATTAGGTTTTGTATATTGATAATTACAAGTATGTTTGTTTTGTTAAAAATACAGGTAACTATAATAAAACACATGACATACACGTGATTCATACAAGTTCATTTAATCGAGATCTATGAATGGGGTCAATTACTACGTTGAAGTTTTTAACTATTTGACTGCACATTTGATATAGTGACAGCTGTATAAAGGATTATTGATATTGTTGGAATTCATTTCGTATGAATAGTATGGATGGAAATAACACTAGATCGGGGATCGGTTTAGGGCCTGATGGAGTACTACCCTCCATGGAAGTTAAGAACAAGGTAAGGTGTGTTATGTAGACATCAAATTGGTTTAAGTCACTTTAATTGTTTTTTTACTGATTTTTTTTAGAAAAATCATCGGCCATACGGGTACGTGGAATTAATGGCAGATTTAAAAAAAAAAGATAGAAGGTATGCCAGTGGCGGATCCAAAAGGAGGTGGGGGTATCCGGGGTTGGAACCCCCTTTTTTTACGATTAATGCTCTTGAATGGGGACATATGGTTGGAACCACCCCCCCCCACCCCCCCTAATCCTGGGTTGGAACCCCCCTTTTAAAAATGGCTGGATCCGCCCCTGCATGCATTAAAACACCAAATCATGTTTAAAAAAAACAAATATTGGGTTATAGGGGGAGCTACCTTCAATTTCGTTTATGGCATGTCTGTCCTAGCTGGGACTTAATATAACAGATGGTCCCAGTTCTGTCTGACAATCGTCATCACAATTACTTTTTTCGCTGATTTTTTCACATACTTGCTACATCACTGTTCAATGATTTATGTTCTCTTTGGTGAGGCGTTGCATGATTTTTCAGTTACTATAGATGATATGTAAATATTTGGTCTATAAAATTATTGTTAGATGTACATGCCTGTCTGTCAGAGGTTGCGTGACCTTTACCTTGTGGATTCATGGTTTGCTTATTAGCATGATTGTGTCAGTCTGTCAGTTAATGTTAGTATTTATGGTCTATGTGTAGGTGTATTAACATTTTCTAAATGTTGATTTTAACCTTTTGACGAATGACATGTCCGTGTTTACACTTAATAAATATCTTGAGTACAGACAAACCTGAGGTATAAAAATAAAAACAGTCCGTTAGAGTTCAACAAATCTTCAAAAATAAATGATTAAAAATCCAAATTTCATGAGTGGAAGCTGAATTTATATTTCACTTATGTTTCTCTTATTGTTGTACGGGCTCCTTCAATTTTTTTCAATACATACAAAAAAAAAATGGCCATTGGGTCAAAAGTCGATATTTATTTCACAATCTAACCAATACAGAGGGCAGGAAAGTTTATGATCAAAGCGGTCCGGCACTCCTTAGCTGTACAATTAAATCAAATACGAATGACAGCCTATTGACAAAGATGATCTCCATTCATATTTAAATTATGTTGTTAAGATTAGGTATTATCTGACCAATTGCTGTTACGGTCAATGCATTCACGCCATTACCTCAGTTTTATTTACCTTGTTAGAATATTTAAATATTTGACATTTTATATACTACAGCAAAAATTCTGAGTTAACACTTGTATATTGTAAAGATTAAACAAAATCCATTTAAAAAAAAATTGCAAAAATCTCAACTTGATGCGTTAAGTGGTAATGTCATGAGGTCAAATTAGCCTAGCTGTCCTGTCTCACTATATACATTTGTAGTATGGAACGCCGTAGCTGTCTTATATGTTAAATTTTATGCTATGATGATACTTTGTCATTATATGCTGATACTTTAATATTATATGCTGATACTTTGTCATTATATGCTGATACTTTAATATTATATGCTGATACTTTGTCATGCTGATACTTTGTCATGCTGATACTTTGTCATTATATGCTGATACTTTGTCATTATATGCTGATACTTTGTTATTATATGCTGATACTTTGTCATGCTGATACTTTGTCATTATATGCTGATACTTTGTCATTATATGCTGATACTTTGTCATTATATGCTGATACTTTGTCATTATATGCTGATACTTTGTTACTATATGCTGATACTTTGTCATTATATATATATGCTGATATTTGTCACTATATACGGATACTTTGTCATTATATGCTGATACTTTGTCACTATATGCTGATACTTTGTCATTATGATACTTTGTTATTATATGCTGATACATTGTTGGTATTGATGGTTTTAGTAAACTGTTAATGTTTCTAGATCTAAAATGTGCCGACAACAACACATCCAAAACCGTTTTTTACTGTTACTTGTCTGGTGTTGCTAATTAAGAAGGAGACATGATTACTGGCAAAAGTACTCACAACCAAAGGATAGAAAGACTTTGGAGAGACATTTTTGAAGGCGTTTTATATAATTTTTACAATTTTTTCTATCATATGGAAGATAAAGGTATTATAGACCCATTAAATTGAAACACTTAGCAGTACTAGCAGTACTTGGTCTTCCAAGTGCTCCACGAAACCTCTTTCTAAATTATTAACATATATTTTATCAGCAATCAAAGCCGGGCTCCAAAGTTATTGTGAAACTGCCTATTCTAGAGGTGGCGTGAATCAGATGTGGATACTAAAAAATTCCAAAGATCTTTTAGAGTACATACAATCTAAGACTCTTTCATCTTGCAATAGTATTAAAACATTTGACTTTTCTACACTTTACACAAGTATTCCCCATTCCAAACTAAAAGACAAATTAAAAGAGTTGGTATTACATTGTTTCATTAAAAAGAATGGCGAACGTAGATACAAGTATCTTGTCTTGGGGAGGGATAAATCCTACTTTGTAAAGAATCACTCTGATTCAAACAAAAAATTCTCTGAAACTGACATTATCAAGATGCTTGATTTCTTGATTGACAACATATTTGTTACGTTTGGAGGACGTGTTTTTCAACAGACTGTCGGAATTCCAATGGGAACCAATTGTGCCCCTCTTCTTGCCGACTTGTTTCTTTATTATTATTAGGCTGACTTCATACAGGAACTTCTTAGGAAGAAAGATAAGAAGTTAGCAATATCCTTTAACTCTACGTTCCGCTATATACATGTAGATGATGTTCTCTCACTAAATAATACAAAATTTGGTGACTATGTTGAACGAATTTATCCCATCGAACTAGAGATAAAGGATACTACAGATACAGTTAAGTCTGCCTCATATCTTGACTTACATCTAGAAATTGACAATGAGGGTCGGTTGAAAACAAAACTTTACGACAAAAGAGATGATTTCAGCTTCCCAATTGTGAACTTTCCATTTCTATGTAGCAACATTCCAGCAGCGCCTGCATACGGAGTATATATCTCCCAATAGATACGATATTCCCGGGCTTGTATTTCCTATCATGATTTCCTTGATAGAGGATTGCTGCTCACAAGGAAGCTATTAAACCAAGAGTTCCAAATGGGGAAGTTGAAATCATCCCTTCGTAAATTTTACGGACGCCATCACGAGTTGGTTGACCGTTATGGAATAACCGTTTCACAGATGATATCGGATATGTTCCTTATGTCGTAACTACAATACCCTCCCTTTTCACGAACATGACTTACCGAATTAAGACTATTTACCGGATTTGTAATAACATAAGCAACACGACGGGTGCCACATGTGGAGCAGGATCTGCTTACCCCTCCGGAGCACCTGAGATCACCCCCAGATTTTGGTGGTGTTCGTGTTGCTTAGTCTTTGGTTTTCTATGTTGTGTCATCTGTACTATTATTTGTCTGTTTGTCTTTTTATTTTTGGCCATGGCGTTGTCAGTTTGTTTTCGATCTATGAGTTTGACTGTCCCTCTGGTATCTTTCGTCCCTCTTTTACATTTATTTGGACGAAATAAATAGGAGGCTACAATTTGGGTAGTATCGTGGTCTAGTCACAGAATCCGAACAGTAAAATCATCTCCTCTGAACTTGTTGACAACTGGCCAGTTACAGAACCCGTTAGAAATCAGTTTCCTCAATGATATTATTTCTGAAACTTGTGTATAGTTTGGGCAAAATGTTATGGCAAGAGTCTCTTTAAAAAAAAAAATTAATACCCTACACAATAACGTTGAAGGGTATAACCATTTAGGACAGATTTGTGTTTGCACCAGTCAGTTTTATTATTTTTGGCCTTTACTATGAGGAAAAAAGTGTGAATCTTACATGTCATGTGGTGGCAAGCAGACGTTTCCAATCTCCAAATGACTAGTTCTAATTTGTTTCTGAAACTTAGTTAAAGTCAATGAAGTGTGTTGGCCATGTACTACTTTGGTTGCAAGCTGACAGTCTCCAGTAAAAGCATCCCCTCATCAAGTTATATAAAAAAAGGTCAACTAGTATATAAGAAGTAAGTATTGACGTGAAAGCGGCAGGTACTCCAACACCAGTTGATAGGTGTTTCGTTATCTTTCATGTTGACTGGTATGATTCCATTTGTAGGTGATACTTTTGTATATATTCCATGAATACCTCATATAAAAATTCCTAAATTCAGGCTTACCGTCTCCTAATGAATGACTTGGACAAAGTTACAGTCCGGCTAAGTAATTTATAAAACCTTTCAGTTTAGCCCTCCAATAGAAAGAGACTTTACAAAACGTCACCAGTGTCTGAACAGAAAGATGATGAACTAGGGTTAAGTCAAAGAACATCTCGTCCATTTTCTCTAAAAAAAAGTTCATCGGAAGATACCAAGACCTTGATGATAAATATTCCGTATCAACTTCACAAATAATACATGATGGTCTTTAAGTATAGATCAGGGGCGGATCCAGCCATTTTTAAAGGGGGGGGGGGGGGGTTCCAACCATATGTCCCCATTCAAAAGCATTGATCGTTTCGTTAAAAAAAGGGGGGGGGTTCCAACCCCCGGAACCCCTCCCCCTGGATCCGCCACTGTAGATTCTAGGTGCTGCCGTTGTTTATCATCTTAATTACGTGTTATAGTCTTCTTTTATTTGTCTTTGTAAATGATTAACCTTTACTGTTTAGTCCATTTTTGGTTATATACTTTTGGTGTGGCTCGGTATATATACATCCCGCCATTGTGTTATGGTCATTTTTTGTATTCTTGTCATTCATTTTTGCTTATATGGTTTGTCTATATGCCATTTTGATTTTCTTTGTTGACATATTTGTTTGTTTTTATAGTGATTATAATTATAACACAATGTTGGACTGCTGCACCCCTATTTTTGACATTTTTTCCTAAAATGTCTCTTTGTTTTTTTCACACATAGTTGTCAATATAATGGAATTATATGCGACTGTCATACAAGTGAGAGGTTTTATTAGCTATAA